TCTGGTCTTAGATCTTTAATGACATATATAGGATGTCAACAAAAAAATAATGCTCTCAAAAGACAGGTTAAGTAATACCCCCAAGTTGTTTAGATTAGACTAAACTACCTGATGTACTTTATGGCTGGTGTCTGTTAGAAGTAAAACAGAACAAAATTTCCCAAGGGGAAAATATTAAAAATGTAAACATATTTTTTATATTTTAAATGGACTCACTTTTCTATTTAAACTTATCAGCAAATTTCTACCTTGTATATACAGAGATTTATTTACTTTTGGCCACTGAGGTGGTTCTGTATGCAAATTTAACAGGGTAAATATAAGAGATCCATCCAACTGTGGCTAAATGAACCACTGAAATCACAAAGGCACATATTAAAAGGAATTTGTGATGACTTCAAATTGCTCTTTTGCTAATTTAGATCTTGTAACTCTCAATTTGGCTTAATTCATATACATAGAGTTGTAGAACAGGCTGTTTGGTTATCGGTCCAATTCTAGCACTTCCCCTTCTGTCTTCTTAGTCTTTTGATAAGCCTCATCATGACCAGGATGGGCAAGGCCATGCCAGCAGGAGCTCAGAGGTGTCAGGGCAGTGGGGTGGCAGGTTACCTACAAGTGGAGAGATTTTTTTTTAATATTCGCGTCCTCCGTGTCTCTGCAGTTGTTTTCTTTCTGAAGCAAGGTGCTCTGAATGACTGAAAGCATGGGCAGCTGCTTTATTTGATTCCTCTCTTCAGTGGCCCTTCTGAGCATTAGATCTCTGAAATTACTACAGAGTAGGAAGAGCAGAAGGTGGACAGGGAGGAACAGGAATCCCTTGTGTAGTCCAACACAACAAGCTGGGGAGTAACTCAGGTCAGTGAAAGTACCCTAAAATGGGCCTATGTTAGCTTCTCAAAGGAGAGCTCAGAGTTGAGAGACTCAGCTGGATCCACACCTCTAGAAGAAATAGAGCCATATGGCAGGTGGGAAAACACAAAGATTGCCAACTCTTTCTGTATTTACAATGAACATCTCCTAGTTGGGTGAGTGGGTTATTTATAATACTGGGTTTTGAATCCAGAATCATTTACATTTTCTTTATTCTGGGAACCATAAACAAGCAGGTTTTATTTAAAAAGTATTTTCTGACAGTATGGTATCTCATCTCTGAAGACTTTATGGCAAAGTCTCATTTTTTAATTTGTTTTAGTATTGGAGGTTGAACCAAGAGCCTTGTACATACATGACCACTCTGAACTACATTTCTACCCCTGTTTTATAGTATTTTTGATGAGCTTGTATACCTTATACATAAGAATAGGGTTCAGTGTGATATTTTAACTCTGTACCCAGCTTACATTACTCAAATCCAGCTTCCTTTCTGAAAATCCAACTTTCAGATTGAAATTTTTTATTTTCCACATAGGAGAAGGAACATACTTTATTTGTCCATGTCTGACTTATTCACTCAACATAATGACTTGATTTCCATTCATTTTGCAGCAAACGAAAAGATTATGTTCTTTTTTTTGGGGGGGTGGTCCGGTCATGGGGCCTGAACTCTGGGCCTGGGCACTGTCCCTCAGCTCTTCAGCTCAAGGCTAGCACTCTACCACTTGAGCCACAGCGCCACTTCCAGCTTTTTTCTTTTTGCTTATGTGGTGCTGAGGAATCGAACCCAGGGCCTCATGCATGCAAAGCAAGTGCTCTACCACTGAGCCACCTTCCCAGCCCCATTATGTTATTTTTATAGTTGAATAATACACCATTATATGTAAGTATACACACATGTTTATATATTGATGAGGAAGTAGGCTAATTCTATATCATAGCTATTGTGATATACATGAATATGTTGGTTTCTGTTTGGTATGCTGGTTTCCTTTCCTTGGATTTTATACCTAGGAATGGAATAGCTGGATTGTATGGTAGATCTATCTTTAGTGTTTTGATTAAGCTCTCTATTTTTCTCCATAATGTACTAAGAGTTTCATTTTCTCCATTTCTTTGCCTCTGTTTTAAATGATTATTTTCATAATAGCCATTCTGGCTAGGATAAGGTATTATTGTAATTTCAATGATTTTCCTGAAAGCAAATGATGTTGAGTACCATCCGTGTATTTTTTTGACCATTTACATTCCTTCCTTTGAGGAATGTCTGTTTATATCATTTGGGCATCTAAAAATTGGAATGTTGGCTTTTTTCCTGTTTAATTTTTTTTATAAGTTTTTTTATTGTAAAAATACTGTACAGAGGGGTTACAGTTACATGAGCAAGGTAATGAGTACATTTCCTATCAAGCATTGTTGCCTCCTCCTTTGTTTTTCCCCTACCATCCCTTCCCTCCCACCTTCACAAACCTCCACAACTACACTCCTCCCTCTCACCCTACCCACCCCCAGCCTAAATTATAAAGTTCATTTTCAACATAGTGTCTTGTACATCTCATTGCTACAATGGGTCAACCTGTATCCCTATTTAAACATTTTGGTTTTTCCCTTCCCCTCCCCAAATTAGACCAACATCAAATACAGTGAAAACAGGGGTTATACCATGGGGGAGGAACATACAAAGCAACAAAAAAAAATCACATGGTACATTATAACTACATTAGAAACAATAGCAAGAAAGAAAAAAACTACTTGTGTCCCTATCTTGGGGTTCATTTTGCTTAACATCATCTTATCTGGTCATATGTACATAGCTTTTGACCTTTTCTGCTTGTCCCAGACATATACTAGTTATTGCAAATAAGGGAAACCATGGGATCTATGTTTCTTTGGGCCTGGCTTACTTCATTTAATATATTTTTTCCCCAGTCTTTCCATTTCCTAACAAATAGGGCAATGTCATTCTTTCTGATGGAGGCATTGGTGGGAGTGTAAATTTGTTCAACCATTCTGGGTATGGAGGTTCCTCAAAAGACTCCACATAGAGCTCCCCTATGACCCAGCAATTCATTATCTTTTTTTAACAAATGCATTTTTCATTGCTATTGTAAAGGTGATGTGCAGACCAGTTACAGTTACATAAGTCAGATAAAGAGCACATTTCTTTTTGAACAATGTCACCTCTTCTTTGACTTTTCCCCAGTTCTCCCCTCTCATCTCCACCGCCCTTCATTATGCCTTTCATTATCGTTTTGCAACTATCTACTAATTGTCTCTTTTCACACACCTCCAGGCACAAGCACTTACACTTCCTCCATCTGCAAATCCTGTTTTCTCACTTTGCCTTAATTTCTCACTCAGTACTCAAATATCATTGTAGTAGTCCCTCCTTATTTTTTTTCAGTTTCTATTCACCCCTTCCCTAGATCTCCTTATTTTAAATCATATCTTTTTTTGATTTATGTTTCTTCATCACTAAAATCTGAACAATCCAATGTAAGATGACTTAAAAAATTTCTCAACCATTTTTAAAAATGATCTTTAATTCTTTGTACAAAAAAGTTACCATCCAAAAATCAAGTTATGAACACAATGCATCTTGATCAGGGTCAGCCCGTCCATCATTCTTCCATCCCTCTCAACCCTACCCTTCCCTTCAATTTTCTTAATTTTGTAAGATATGCATTAAATTTTATGACTGTATCTCCCACCCTCCCTTTTGGTCCTTTTGGTTTGGTGTTATGTTTTCTTGTGCTTAGAACACAGCAAATTCTAAGCAAATATTTATTGAGTAACTATGTAATCAAGAAAACATTTATTCAACATCTTTGGGGTTTTGAGCAGCTCAGTATAATCATTAAACAGCAAATTGAATTTCTGCAATGATCGTGCACTATTTATAAAGAAGAAAAGTGAATTGGGAGGCAGAATTCATTTCCCTAAATCTGGAAACCACCCATTGTGTAGCTAAGTTTTCTTTCTTTCTTTTTTTTGGGGGGGGGGGTTCCGGTCGTGGGGCCTGAACTCTGGGCCTGGGCGCTGTCCCTCAGCTCTTCACAGCGCCACTTCCAGCTTTTACTTTTTGGTTATGTGGTGCTGAGGAATCGAACCCAGGGCCTCATGCATGCAAGGCAAGCACTCTACCACTGAGCCACTTTCCCTGCCCCTCTCAGTTTTTTTCTGATTCTATATTAACTTTTTCTTCTTTGTTAGTAGGAGGTAAAGATGAGTTCACTTCTTGGAAATGGGTGGGTTATTTCCATTTTGTATCTCCACTTGTTGAGACCAGAGGTGACTTTCTTCCTTTCTTCTCTATCCTTAACACCTAGCAGGGACTCTCAGATGGGGAACAAGATCAGTAGTTATTTGTCTTCATCACTAAATGATCACAGCTGTCTAGTTGATGGCTTCTGTAATCTTACAGATGGTCAGTTTTCCCTCTAAAAACTAGGGTAGGGTTTGAAGAAGCAAGTTGAGAGACAAATTAAGCAAGTTGAGGAACCAAATTAAGAATATTGGACATGTTTTCCACAGGCGCTGTCCACCATGGCCCTGTTATTGGCTTTCATGGTATCTTTTATTCACCATCTCTCTCCTGTGCTGTTCCCATGGAGAAGAAGGCTGAGAATGCCACAGAAAAAGCCACACTGTAATCAATTAATGCCTTCTAAGAAGATCACTGGAGCGTGAGGCTTCTCTGAGGGTATATTTTCTAGTGTCAGGCAGGAGGAAGAAGGGGAAAAAGGATTTGAACAAAAAGAAAAGGATGCAAGGGATAAAATATCATGAAGAAAGCTGACTTAATCTGATGCCTTCTGTCTCTCTACTGACTTTCAAGTAGTTTCAACTGAGAACTTCTATTGAAGATGTGCTTTTGTATTTTATCCCTTTTACAGTGGCAAAGCTCTGCTTGTATGGGGAACAACAGGTATTTTCTCTGTTGTTTGAAGCTTTTATTACAAGCATATTCAATAAGGAAAAAAAAAACCAACCCTGTTATGTATTTAATCTGTTTACACTTCAGTTCATCCACCGCTATAGGAGAGGTTGGGACATGTAGCCCATGGGCTATAGAAAGCCACACAATCATTTGGTAAATGATTTTTCTCTCTCATTCCTACCAGGCCCCCACCAAATCAAGCAAGGTACCTGTGAGGTGGTCGCTGTGCACCGATGCTGCAATAAGAACCGTATAGAAGAGCGCTCGCAAACTGTCAAGTGTTCCTGCTTCCCAGGGCAGGTTGCTGGCACAACCCGGGCTCAGCCTTCTTGTGTTGAAGGTAAGACATTGCTCATCGGTTTCTCCAGCATTTCAAAAGGGGCCTCAACCCATCAAGACCCTCTTCTCTGCTTTACTGTCTTTGTAATTCATGGACATCAAGGCTGCTCTGTGATGATTTCTGTGAATCTTGGTGAATACGGAAAGTCTTGCGTTCCTCAAGAGGAACAAATGGGTGGCTCCATCATAGGACAGTAGGGAAGAGGTGCTTCAAAGCCTTTTTGTTCTCTTATGTACTTGGCTCTTACTGGGAAGTTAGTTCTAGTGGCCATAGACACCAGATCTGTGGATGCTGAAGTTTCTACATAAAATGACATAGATTTTTGCATAGTACCTGTACATGTCCTCTAGATCACTTAAAATTGTATCTAGACTACTTACAGTAGTGAATACATGTAAATACTACACAGATAGTCTTACTGTATTATTAGGGATTTATGGCATTTATACATGTTTAGTACAGATGAAATTAAAAAGATTATTTTCTGGGGTAAATTGAATCCATGGACAGCGAGGTTGTGGATAAGAGGTCCATTGATGCTCAGGACTCAGCAGTGTGTGTGTGTGTGTGTGTGTGTGTGTGTGTGTGTGTGTGTGTGTGTGTGTGTGTGTGTTTGCTGGTCCTGGAGCCTGAACTCTGGGCCTGGGTGCTGTCCCTCAGCTCTTTGCTCAAGGCTAGTGTTCTACCACTTAAGCCAGCCACAGTGCTATTTCTAGCTTTTTCTGCTTATGTGGTGCTGAGGATTTGAACCCAGTGCCTCATGCATGCAAGGCAAGCACTCTACCACTGAGCCACCTTCCTAGCCCCTGTGTGGTATTTTAACCTTACACTTAGTGGGGATTTTGTTTGCTGGTGTGTGTGTGTGTGTGTGTGTGTGTGTGTGTGTGTATGCTGGTACTGGGGCTTGAACTCAGGGCCTGGACACCGTCCCTTGAGTGCCTGCCTTGAGTGAAAAATCTATCACTTGAGCTACAGCCTCACTTCTGGCTTTTTGGTGGTTGGAGAGAAGAGTCTTACAGACTTTCTTGTCTGGATTGACTTTAAAGTGAAATGCTCAGATCTCAGCTTCCTGTATAGCTAGGATTATAAGTACGAGCCACTGGTACCTTGCTGTTAATTGATTTTTGAGATAGGTTATCATGAGTTTGATAACCTCATCCTTCCAAGTGCCGGGATTGCAGCTGTGTACCACCGTGCCTGGCTTCATGCTTCGTGTGATATCTACTCTATTATTTCCAGTCTATCCTTTTAACAAATATTTCTAGGACACCTTTAGAGCAAAGTCCCTGAGAAGAGTTTGGGATCATGTATCATTCATTTGTATTCTCTAAGTCCCCTAGCAGGCTACTGTGCCAATAGCTAAACTCCATCTATGAATCGATGTTGATGGTTGTTGATGGAGGCCTGGGACTGGTTGGTTCCTTTTGATGCCGCTGGCATCTTCTAGCAGACACCTTGTTAGACACAAACATCTGTCCCCAGGGGAGCAATGCCCAGGCTTAGCTTCCAGCAGTCTCTCTGCAGTGGTGTGAAAACTCCCTGACAGACAACACTTGCAGCTGTGTGCAATGCACGTCTAAAGGTCAAGCAGTTAAGACATGAACAAGTCCTTAACTCCGTATCTTGTTGCTCAATCAGTGATAAGAGTGGACTTATATCCCTACACCCACACCTATGCACACACACCTTAGCTGTGTGGTCATAGGGGTGTGTTCGGAATATCAACCACCTTAAAAGCAGTAAATATAGTAAACACATCCTCAACTATTTTACCAGGAGTTCTTGGGGTTAAATGTACTTGGTTCAGCTACTATAAGGATAACACAGGACATCTCTAAACTATTACCTAAAATACCTACTGTGCTCCCCAGTAGTATCCCATAATGATAGATGATAACCTTTCTACAAGGCAGTATATAAATATTCATTTAGAAAGGCATAAGGCTAGATGAAGAACCTCATGTTAATTCAAGCAGTTTTTGCTCTTCTGTTACAGAAAACCCTTTCCCTTTTTAGAGCATTTTTTTTTGGATGTGGGGATTATCGATAAAGGATTGTGGACCTATAAAAGGAGATAAGAATCTTTCACATTAAAAAAAATGACATTTAAACACCAGTTTGCCAAGTTTCTATATCTCCAGTTGGGACAGTAGAATCTATTTATCTTTTCTGATAACTGATTCCCAATCATGCATATTCCATCTCCTTGCTGCATTGCCAATCAGTCCACATTTCCCCCATCCCTGCTGCTACCTCCACAGCCAGGGACCAACATTACATTTTACGGAGTTTACTCTTCCGAGTCTTTCATTTTTCCTGTGCTGTAGCCCAGATCTTCCTTCTGCACAATAGAACTTTTCAGTCTCATGCTGAAATCCATAGTCCAATGCCTTCCTGGGGTCTCGGAAACCTTGCATTGTCTTGTGTCATGACTCTACCTTTGCCAATCCACACTCTTTTTCCATTCCTTCTCACTTCTCATTTACTCTGTCCTTCACTCACTCTGTCATTTCTCCTCTTCTCCAGGACACGTATCTGGCCTGCTGAATTCCCATTCTGTTCTCCCCATCCTCTGTGTGTTCTTGTGTGACTCCATGTACCCAAGCCACGACACTTAATCACTGCAAAACTTGGTCAATGTCTTTGAATAGCTTGTGGATATGTATGGAGGGTTCTTACTTTGATCTCTCTGCTTTGGCTGACAACAAACTTGTTTTATTGTAACAGAGGATTCATATTCACTAATCACACATCACCCTCTCCAGATAACAACGGCATTTGCGTGGCTCTGCAAGCTTTAAATTTGTTCTAAAGGAACTTATGAAGCATCATATGGACTATTTTTATATCCTGCCTTCTTGAGAATCTTTAGGTAAAGAAGTTTTATAAGTCATGCTAGGCACTGGTGGCTCACACCTGTAAACCTAGCTACTAAGGAGGCTGAGATCTGAGGACTGCAGTTTGAAGCCAGCCCAGGAAGGAATGTCTATGAGACTCTTATCTCCAATTAAACACCCCAAAAAGTTGGAAGTGGAGTTATAGCTCAAGTAGTAGAGCACCAGCTTTGAGCAGAAAAACTAAGAGATAGTCTTCAGGCCCTAAGTTCATGCCCCATGACTGGTGTACACACACACACACACACACACACACACACACACACACACACACACACACGGTTAATAAGTAATGCTCTATAATATTCAGACTTTTGTTGTTACCTGGAAGTCACCAATAGAGAAATGACTACTATTGGCATCTTCATCTTAGTAAAGGAAATATGAATACTTACTCTTTACTAGCTTGCTTTAAATTATATATATGGGAAAAATCTCCTTTGGCCTCTACATTTGATTTCTTATATCTGTTTAGTCAATATTTATATGTATACTTGTGTATATTTGTGTATTTAGAGATAGATATGTCATTTGTATTTTAGTATGAATTATGGTATGAATCAATGTAAACTTGTGTTTGCCCAATTTCTTAGATCAATCTGCTTTATTGCTACCAGAACTATGTTGAACAGATCTCTGTGTCTTTTAAATTTGGCTTTTCAAGTGTTCCATAACAGTCCATGGAGTTGGATAGGCCATTCCTTTACTGATAAAAAATGTGGCTTTCCAAGTCTTTCCATTTCTTTACAAATAGCCCAACATCATTCTTTGTAATGGATGAGAAAATTCCATAGTCTATACTCAAATAATGTAAGTCCTTAGAAAGGCAAAATCAAAGTTCAGCAAAATAAAATACCAGGAAAGAAGCAGTACACAAAAGGGATGGGGTAGGGTCAAGGAAAAAATGAGTAGATAAATGAAGAGAAGAGAGCGAGAATGCAATTAAGAACCCAATGTATATCCTATAAAATAGAGCGAAGGAAGGGGTAGGTAAAGTAAGGATGGGTAAAAATGTTGAAAGGGGTGGCATTGACCAAGATATACTCATAACCTGCTTTGTTAAATGGCAACTCCTTTATACAATGGCTTATAGATAGTAGAGTACTACTGCTACTGCTACTACTACTACTACTAATGATAAAGAAAATGTGGTTGTGTTTGTGGTAAGGTACATGGACTTACAGTACTTTAATGTCATAGGATCAGTAGGAGATGGAGACCAAATTTTTGGCATCTGACCATAGCCAACCACGTCTATGAGACCTTTCTGCAACAAAGCAAATGTTCTCTCTCTGGATCCTTCTCTAGAGATGTCTCTGAAGACATATCTGATCTTGTAGGGAATGAGTTATGGTTATAAGGAGATGGTTATATCTGCACATAGTACATTGAACAAGTTTGGTAAATTGTTCAGACTGAAAGGAAAATTTAAGAATGGGAAATAAACATTAGAAGAATAATTCACCTAGTTTTCATTGTATTTCAAACCATAAATCATGATCTTACTGTGTTAAATCACATTCTTCGAGGAATCTTGTATCCTTCTTCAATTTTCTCAAATTCCTCCTCTTTTTTAATAATATAATAATACAGCTGTCAATGAAATAGAGCTGTCAATTAGAAAAAGATAGATCTGATGATGCATAGGTCAATGGTTAGTAGCAGCCTGTGACTAGAAGCTTCAGATTGCACAGTGCCGGGCAAGCTTTATGTACTGTGGCCCTTTAGGAGGACATTTATAGCATGAGAACCCTAGAAAGCCAGGCTTGTGAAGATACCATCCTCTCCTCCCACTCCATACCTAGCACTGCCTGGCAAACAGTCAGTGGCCAATAAATGTGCATTTGTTCCAAGTCACTGAGAAAGGGGTGGGAAGTGTAAGCTTTAGCGAGGATGTGTGTCTGTTTTTGTATCTCCCTGATCTTCTATTCCTTATATGAATGTTTCCACAAGGGCTTTTTAGCTCTCCCTGCTTAATCTTTATCCCATAATAATTATGCAGTATCACGCTATTAATTGGCATGTGGGAAGACCCATTCTCTGCAGATAGGTTCTTCTTATCTTATTTGTCAATGAGACTGGAGAGGATCTAAAATATCAAATTCA